TTCAAAACGATCTGAAACATTTTCAACAATAGATTCCCTTGGTATATTCCTTAGATCTATGGCATTATCACATAACTTTTTGTTGTTCCTCCTAAGCATAATCTCTTCACAGCTGAAAGGCCTTGTCCTAGCAGCACTTTCTTCATCATGATGCAGGGAAATCCCACTACTTTTTCTGTTCTTTTCTTGTAGCCGACTAGATGTGCTCATCTTGCCCGATATAAATTCAGTGAAACAATTCTGAGGTTCTAATAGAGCATGGGGAACAGTTAACCAGTACTGTGATGGATATGTCAAAGTGAATATTGCTGCACCAAGAAAAAGAAAAACGCATGTGATATTAGTCAAACACCCATGTGGATCAACAAATTTTAGTCCCTCTGACTACAATGCAGAACAGCATGGTAAAATAGTTGCAACCAAATTGTAGACTACAAAGAAGACTGGAATAGGTCAAGAAATTATAACATCATGCAAACTAGTGAAGCACATGTGCTTCTTCTTTTTTTCCTGATTATGTGTTATCTAAATGCAGGATAACAAGCACGATCTGCACTCCATTGTGTACCCCACTACTACTATGTAATCAAAGACAACAACTCCAATTGGAAACTACCTGTGGGCCTTTCTGTATGTTACTGTAAATAACATTATACTAGCACTTTCACTTCTTTTACGTTCAATAAGACAACTTCCTTTCAACATTTCTGCAACATCTCTAATCCATTTACAAAAATTCAGTTCACAACTTTGTAATGAAAATTAAATTAGTACCCCATAACAACTGAAAGAGCCATTTTAACTTAATACTACTAACTAGAGAAATGGTCACCCTTACAACAGGGTAATAAATTTAAAGCGTTCAGTATTTCCATTACATCCTAGAGTTCAGTATAAGGAGACAAAGATGGAAAGATAGTCAACAAGCAATCTGTTATACATACGAAAAACTTAGTAATCTAACCTAGGTCTGTCCATCTGTCTGAGAAAATCAACCTGCCCGACCAGATATGGTCAAATTTGCTTGGTTTCCCTTTATTTTTGCTCAGCAGTAGATGCAATTATCAGGATCCTGATAATTTTGGTTTGGTTGTCAGGTTTGAATGCTGGAAACCCAATCAAATCTGGATGGATATACATTTTACATAAAACTTATGAAAAGAAAAACCTCACCAAACATATATTCTATGTTATAACACTAGAGGCTTCTTTTCACTACGGTGGGCATGCACCCACAGGATCCTTAGTGAACCTCAAAACCCTAACCCTTCATTCAGCTCTCTAAAACCTACAACGGCTCAACCAACCACACCCTCTCTATTCTCAATCTTCTCATCACTAATTTTGACAGCTCAAGTCTAGATTTGCATGATGTGTTCTTCGCAATCTTTTCTACCACTGTGAATCATCATCAATGCCACCTCTGTCAAGCACTTGAGGCTCCATTGAGGCCTCTCACTTCCTGTTCCAATCCACGCCCACCAAATCTTGGATCAGATGGGATATTGTTTTGGAAGCTGAGGATGACATCAAGCCACCCCCAGCAGAAGTGCTGAGTTCAGATGGAATTTGGGCCCTAAAACAATCCAACTGACCCTAAACATTTGTATTCTTATCTTTACTTTGGAAAATTCTTCTATATGCTAATATTTACATCTTTATAAACATTTGAAGAAAACATGTGAGGCCTATTGAAACTTACAATGAGACATCTGAAACAATTTAAAATACAAAATTACTCTTTCCCTAAGTAAATTCAGTCTCCTTGTTAACATATATGATAGAATTAGGTGCATTATAGCAATTCATTGTCCATTACATCCGCCTATCTCAAGAAACCTATTTATCATGTAGGAATTAAATCAAGATGTGTCATCCAATCAACTCGTATACAAAAACAATCTAAAATAGAATTTTCTCATACACACATGTCACATTTGCAATACATATTATGAGTCGTTTCCTGCATTACCACACAAAACCTACCTAAATTCAGAGCTCTCGTTAAACTGAATACAACTTTAGGATATGAAAAAAGAAAAGAACAAAAAAAATCCGTGTATATTGTATCTTAGAAAAGATGGGTACGAACATAATGCTATCTAATTTATCATTTAGCACTAAGCGAAAAAAACATATTACATTTCAAAATGAAAATGTAACTGAAGAAAGCTAAAATCTCCACACTCCACTCACTAACCAAGAAACAATTAACTCAGCCAATAAGTTTTGCACTGCCTATGTTTTCCCAGAAAAAAGATTTCCATTTTTACTTCTCCTTCCCTTTCCTCTGATTTCCCAGAAACCAAACGGAGTGGGGTAGGCAAAAGAAACCAATTAAACCCAAGTTTAAATTACAGACGAACATTCTATTAGCAGCCTCCATTACTAAATAAAGAGAAAACAAGTTTCTTATATAAGAAACGTTTCTCTTTGTAGAAAAGGAGAAGATGGTGCAAGTAAAGATTGTACCTTTGGGACGAAGATCTGGCAGCGAGTTCAGTACGCCGAGAGAGGCGTGCGTTTATGAAGGGCTTAGCAGCAAGAAGCGGAAGTGGCCAAAGAAATTGAGTAAATGGGGAAAACCTAAAGAAAAGCAGAGAGGCAGGCAGTTATCCTCAGACACAAAGAAAGCTGCGAGCCTGCGAGTTTGGCTTGCCCTTCGGCCAGTTGACATTTCCTGGATATTTATTTTGGTTGGAAATTTTCCTGAATTTTTTTTTTGTTGGAAGAATTTCCTGGATTTTAACACTTGTTATTTTGTTTATTATTAATAGGAATAATCTAATCATCAAAGGATTTCATAATATTGGTTACCAAATCATCAAGTATCATGAATTCACGGTATATCTTATCCATTAGAGCTGGAATGTTATGTAATGAGGTGTATGTTAAATATACATCATTTGTAATCGGAATCACTTGCAATGGGGAGGTGTAAACGATTATAAATTTGCATCACAACTATGAGATGCACATGTGCATTCTTTTTTACATCCCTTGCAGGTGGGGGGCCTACAAGAGAAAAAGTGAGAAATTGTGGACAAAAGTGAGCAAAATCAATTATACATCTTACACATTGAAGCAAAAACCACATTTACAACCCCTGAAGGTGTAAAGGGAATGTAAAAGTGGCTTTACTCCCGAAAATACACATAAATAAAGATATTTTATATTTAAACCCCACATTTCTCTTAGTTCACCCCAACTTTTAATTTAAATTTTCACAATTTCTAAGAAAACCTCACTATCTTCCCAAACTACCCTTAAATACACCCCAAGCTATAAAAAAAATAAAAAATAAAAAAGATTTTCTATTTAAACCCCACAATTTTCTTTGTTCATCCAAATATTTAAATCATTAAACAATATTTGTAGTATACATGAGATTTTGTTTGGGGTGAAAGTTTGAAGCAAAAGTATGTGCTAGGCACTAGTTTAAGGATGGTTTGAAGGCATCAGTTTGAAGCAAAAATACATGAGATTTTCTTCTTGTGCTAGGCATCAGTTTGAAGCAAAAGTATTTGTAGTATACATGATATTTTGTCACGACTGATCTTTCTCTTCAAGCCTTGGAAAGAATCTTCTACAGTTGTGGAACCTAATCATCTAGTCGCACACGGTGCTTCAATGCATTGGATCTCAAGGATATCAAGAGTGGCGAGGAATTTGTATTTTTCTAAAACTTAATATGTAGAGTGGTGGGGTGTGTGAATAGATATACTAGTGTTAAGTATTAAGTTGGATGACTTTTTTTGTCTTTTTACACTGTAATAAAACTTACAGCTTAACAATTTAAGTATTAGGGTGAACAAAGAGAAGTGTAAGGTTTAAATAGAAAATCTCTAAATAAATGAGTCTAAAAAGTAAATAGTTAATTAATTGACAAGATAATAGGATTTAACTTGACATCTAAAGTCAATGGGGTCTAGTCCAATGGCCTTAACTTGCAGATAAGAGGTTTTAGGTTCGAACCCTATGACATTTTAGTTGTGTATGTGTGAGAGAAATCCCCTTCCCTTTTAGTTTAGACTATCGCTTATACTCAAAAAACTTGACATCTAAAATACTGAGATTTTATTATTTTGGTAAGACATCAATTGGGAACAAACTCTATTTGTATTATTGCTCATTTGTTTCTTGTTTTCTTAGGCAACACTTTACCTCAAAGGAATCAAATTGAGTAACCTTGATGATGAAACCTCGAGAGTTAAAACTTAAAGATTGTAGGAATAGATTGATTTTTTTTAATCAACTAAAGGGGAGAATTCGAATTTGTGACATTTTCAAACATAGAGGAGATATACTATAATTAACTTGATTTTCTTTCAAGCGAGAGAGAACGTTAAAGGAATACAAAATGCGTTGTTGGTTGGTAAGAGCTTAGCGATTAAAGAGAAAATTGGGAGGTTTTAAAGTAGGAAATGCTAGCAAATATAGTCAAATAGAGATATAACTGAAATTTCTTATGTCTATCTATGCAATGTTTTCTTCATAATACACTGCGTATAGACCGAGTATATTTAAAATCCTTTTTTTAAGCGTATTTCAAACAAAACAATACAAACTTTTTTTGCAACAAATAATTGAGTTCCATGCTCGGCAAAAACAAATTATGAATAACAAATGCTTTTGTGAAAAGAAAATGTTCATCCCCAATCACGAGAATTTCAAATTCATTCCATTTTGCAAATGCTTTTGTGAATAACAAATATCGATTGCAAAGAAAACTGTAAAACTGGGCGTGGGAGCAAAATAATAATTTATATGGGGCCAAAAGGTCTCTAGAGCACTAATATATAGTGTCAAATTGCATACATAAAACTTGTTCAAGTTTTGGCATTGCTCAAAGCCTTGAAGGTCCATAACAACTGAAGGGTTTGAGAACAGCAAATAATAATAATCCAATTTCGTAGTTACAACTCACAAGTTCAACTACCAAGGCAAACAACCTTTTTCTTCACCATAGGTTTATGTACATAGCTGGCCTTGCATTCATTTTACCGCACATTTTCCCTTCGGCGCACGTATCGGGTTCTGTCATTGTATCTTGGTCTGTCCTGAGCTCTCGAGGGCTGTGGCTCCACCCTCCTCTGCCTTTCAGGCGACCTTTGAACAATTTCTCCATTCACAAATAACTCAGCTGCATTAAACAATATTTAGTTACAAGAACAAGAAGCCTTTAGAAAATTCAAAGATAATTGAGACTAATAATAAATTTAAGAATAGACATCATTTTAAAATAGGGGTGAACATGCAATGAAGCCACACTGTTTAGTAGTAAAAGGAAACAATGCAACAATGCATATGGCACCAAATCAAACAATAATATATACTCATGACAACAATGCTTGTTGATGAACCATTAAGAGTATATGGCACCAAATCGAACAAGATTTACAACTCTGAGATGATCATACTATCAAAATCACAAATTGTCACCATATGTATCCACTCCAATGATTCTGAAACTCCACAACACCCAAGAAGCAACAGAACAGAATGGAGGGAATTATTATGAGTCCATTAGCATTCAAAGCTAGACATGACCGAAGGCTACTAGCATTGCCAAGATGGACTGGGAGTTAAAAGAAAGAAAAATTCTTGTTAAATCCAGCAAACTGTCAGCAAAGATGTCTTTCTAATGATAAAGGTCACCAAATGTATCAACTCCAATGATTCCGACACTCCACAACATACAAGAAGCAACAGAACAGGATGGAGGGAATTATTATGAGTCCATTAGCATTCAAAGCTAGACATCGCCAAAGGCTATTAGCATTGCCAAGATGGACTGGGAGTTAAGGAAAGAAAACTTCTTGTTAAATCCAGAAAACTGTCAACTGTCCGCAAAAATATCTTTCTATTGATAAAGATCAGCAAATGTATCAACTCCAATGATTCCGAAACTCCAAAATATACAAGAAGCAACAGAACAGGATGGAGGGAGTTGCTATGAGTCCATTAGCATTCAAAGCTAGACATCGCCAATTGAAGGCTATTAGCTTTGCCAAGATGGACTGGGAAGAAAGAAATATGTAAGTTAAACCGAACAAACTGTTTGGTATGGATGTCTTCTAATGTATGTTAAACCAAACAAACTGTAGGCAAGAGTAAAAATTCCTAAAATATGTTTCATCTCCCCTGATCTGCATCTCCATGAAGTATACAAAGCACAGAACAGTTAAGAGAGACATTTGATGTAAGAAAATTAGCATTCAAAGCTAAATAATGCCTCAAAGGCCTATTTAACTTCTCCAAGATGGACTGAGAATTATAAAAATAACTTTGAGGGAGCCAGAATCAATCCCTTCGCACTCTGGTTAACCCATTCTCACTGTGATGTTAAGTATCACACTGAGACAGATAAACAATGAATAAAATCTTCTAAAGCATAATACGTATGATATTTTATCAAATGGATGGGTGAACAAAGGTGTAAAAAAACTCAAATTACTAAAACCTCAATAAGGAAATCAAATTACTTCAAGAAACTTCTTTATTCAATTGTGAGTGCAAGAGGTTTTAAATAAGAGAACATGATATCTGAAGACGCATAAGTTGTTAACCATTAAATCCTCAAAAAAAACTTACCCCCATAGTCTTTATATTCGGCATCAACATATGAATCCGGAAGCACAAAAAGAACACCAGGCATGCCTGAAAAGAATGAAAACAAAGAGATGTACACTCATGATCACATAAACACATATAAATAGTTTGTATAATCACTCAGAAACAGGTAGCTAAAACATCAATGCAATTTAAAAACACTGACCTTCAAGCTTATTCGAGGTCTCCTCGTCAATCTCACAACCAAAACCAAAATACCTCTCGCAGGACACATTGTAAATTTTCTTCTTCGCCTCTTCCTCGCTGTCAGATCACAAGAAGCAACAAAACAACAAAAGGTTAACGCATACAAACACCCACGATGCAAAAACATTAAAATTCGCTTATTCAATTACAATTACAAACACACTTAATTACAGCTACGAACAAATAATTTTTTATAAAAAAAACTAAGAAATTCAAACAAGTACACTACAAAAACATTTCAGATATATAAGAAAAAAAAAATTTTCCGATTACATTTCCATCATTTTCCTACTAATCAAACTCGAAATCAAAGAATCATTACCTCCCAAGGATTTTAGCCAGGGTCTGAACATAGCAATCGATCATCTGCTGCTTTGTAGCACCCTCACCTCCGGGCTTGTCCATGACTATGAGCCAGTGCTCGTAGTCGCATCCCGGGAAAAGCGGGGCCATTTCAGTGGGTGGACGGTCACTGAAGTTTGAACCGGAGTTGAGGGGCGAGTAAGAACCACCGGAGCGGTTCACCCGGCAGCGGATCGGAGTGTACCGGGTGGTGGCGGTGGGGAATCGGACGGCATGCGAGAGTGGGGCGAGAGAGCGACGGCCGAGTATAAGAGATGGGACGGAGGGAGGTTGGGTGAGTTTGGATGTGGAGAAGAGACGTTTGGGAACGAGGAGAGAGATTGTGGAGTGGCGAGAAGCGGTGGTGGTGGTTGCGGCGGCGGCCATGGCAATGGCTCGGACTAGGGTTTGAACCATTTTTGGGTGAATGGGACTGAGGGAGAACGAGAGTGAGGAAATCAGATGAGGGTTTAGGGTGCCGGGGGATAAGGGTATGAGGAAGTATTTATCTCTGTTTTTAGGAATTTTGGGTTGGGCCACTACGGTTACTTTCTGGGCATCGAATGATGAAGATCAAAATAAGCCCATCTTCTGCTTCTCACTAGCCCATATATGAAAGGGTTTGATTCTCACTAGCCCATATATTTTCCTGAGTAAAAAGTTAAGAGTAAGATTAACAGTCAGATCTTTCTAGTGGTATAAAGAGAGAAATTATCTTGAAGATGGTATGCGTTCAATATATAGGTTAGGTCAGTTGGTCAAAGTAGTACTGAGTTCGTCCTCTTACATTCAAGTTCGAATCTCATTTTGCATTAAATTAGATTAATTTAAAGTAATATAGACTATCGCTTATACAAAAGAAGAAGAAAAAACCGCGGTTTTGAAGTATTTAATCGGCATGATACTCAACAGAGACATTGTGCTCTTAATTAGTATAACTCCTTTTGTGTGAATAATCTTCCATGAGGAAATCATTCCTCCACCTAATAACTAAAGAGTAATTTTACATGACGACATAAATTTATACTACAATAAATAATAGTGAGCACGCATTTGGTATTAAGCAACGATAATGAACAATCACCACATTTGGTAACAATAAATAAGCAATGATGTATTTGCCTAGTAATTTTTATTTTACAGTATTTCTTGCTACTGTCGGCACATTTAATTCTATCAGGGACAAAAAGTGATCGCATAGTTAGGTCCACCAGTGCATGTGAAAGTGCTAGTTTTATCATCAAAAGCATAACTATAAGCTTGAGGGCACTGGCTCTTGAATATCTTTGAATAATCGGTAGGAGGGCATGTATCAGGGCTCCCGAATGTGCCGGTGCAACAATAATCCGGCCGGTTGAAAGCCAAACATGCACTTTTGCATGCAATCACACCGCCATCTGACCCTTTTACGGCCAACTCTGCCGGGCAAACACTATTGACATTAGCGGGGCAGCTTGTGTCGCTACATCCACCAGACCCTCCTTGTGGGGCTAATTCGAGAGGCACGTTGAAGCCGTCAACGAGACTAACATCGTAGAAATCTTGCCCTCCACCCGGGGCTAGAGTTAATTCTATCAACGATGCTGGTGGGATTGCACCAGCACCATTGCATGCGACTTGACCAGAGCCGCAGTCTGCGGTGCCACAAATAAACTTTCCTGAGGCATCTGTGGAGCACTGGGTCCGGCCCCAGAAGCGGCCGGACCATGGAGAAGGGACATCCAAAGATGAGGAGGCGCCTGATGCTAACTCGAATCCAGTTGAAGATAATTGTGCACCACTCCCAGTTAGGGCTCCTGGCCAAACTGTGTAGGGGCAACGATTTGTGAATGTGAATGTAGCTGAATCAGCCCCTGCATGTCATGGAAAATGAATAGGTTCAATGATTTTATGGTAAACATGAAAAAAGAAAAATTAATTCTAAATCAGTACAAAATAAATGTTATTAAAATAATTAATCATATATCAAAACGTGTTCGAATCCTCAACTTGATCATCAAAATCGTACTGTTGGTTTCAAGTCTAAACTTAATCATTTTCCTAACATAAACCATAAACGCTAAAAAACAGGAAAATTTTATTTTTCTTGTGCTAATACCAACACAAATTAAATCCAAACTCAAATATCTAAACATGGGCTTAGCCAAGTTAGCCGGAACAGATGTGCTCCCCGTTCTACACCCAAGTTCGAATCCCTCTCCCCTGAGTTTAGATTAGGGTTGTATCCAAAAAAATAAAATAAAATCCAACCACTTGGTTATAAGCACAATATTAACACAAAAAATATTAATAGAGGATCCTAATTTCATACACAATAACATAAACAAAAACCCAACAAAAAAACCTAATGCTTTCTTACCTGATAGGAAGACAGTGACCAAAAGAAGAGAGAGCAAAGTTTGAGATGCCATGGTTGAGTGGTCTGAAATATTGCTGCTTTGGATCTAATTTGCCGATGCTTTGGGTGATTGAGAACCCAGGAGGTGGTGGGGTTTAAATAAGGCTATGAGCCCTGAGAATTGGCTTTAATTAAAAGGAGAAAAAAAAAGGAAAAAAAAGGAAGGAAAATAGTGCATGCATCAAAGCTGGCATGCTTGCCCATAAATTGGTTCATTGTATTTTATATTTCTACTGGATATCATCTCCAGAAAAGGAAAATTAAGTGGGCTGCGTTGAATTTATAAAGAAATGCTTGAATTTCTTGATTTGTTTTGCTGATTAAATCCCTTACTTTGTGCTAATTACTGCCAAGTGTTACATAGGACCCCAATCTTATCTAAACTAAAAATAAAAAATAAACGAAAGAAAAATAAACCATTAATTAATTTTGATCATTTTTCGTGATAGAACTAATACGACGGGTTTTGATTTGATTTTAAAACTAAAAAAGTGTAATTTTAAGCTAAATCATAGTCAGTTTAGTTTGATTCGATTTGGTCTATATGAAAACCGCATAAATCGAACCAAATCACCTATACTAATTTATTTATTTTGGCACTCAACGTTTTCTTATTGGTTATTTATTATTATGTTTTATCCCACACATCGGCATCAATTTGTAATATATGTTAGTTTGCTATTTTGGTGAAATATTTGATGTGATTGTTTCAACATTCGAGTATAAAGTTGTGGATGACCCAAAAGTAAAAAAATGTAATGTTTCATTTCACTTTACTAGATTTGGAAAGTGTATAAAATACAAGTTCTGCGCAATTTCATCCAAATCAGAGATCGTTTAGCCACTTGAATATATTGTGAACATTTCCTTCGTTATCGAAAACATCGTGTTCCTATAAGTTTTATTGCTTATTCAATGTCAAAGCACTAGGAACTATCAACTATAGGGAAATGCAAAAAAATTAGGGAGTTTCACTAAAACACCCAAAATGGAGGTTGAAATTATAAAAAAAACCCAACACCCAAAACACTTTATAAACACACCCAAAACCCATCATTACACACACTCAAAACCCATTTATAAACACACCCAAAAAGTTGACTTTGGGGTTGATTTGGGTGTGTTTCTATGTTTAAATAGTGCTTTGGTTTTTTTATAAATACATGTCTAGGATTGGGTTTATTTATAAATTGCTAAAAAAATTATTAACCAAGGGGACAAAGTTTATTATCTTCCATGCAGAGTATGCGCTTCCGACTTTCTTACAACACCATACTATAAACTAAGATTTCATTTAACAAAGCCAGGAAGCACTAGCAGCTACAGAGCAATACAAGAAGTGTATTGATAAAGGGGACATAAGTTTACAACACCTGCCTGAGAATGAGGTAAATTATTCCCATCGCAGCCTTGAATATGTGCTCCAATTTCTGTCCATAAACATTGAAGATTTTGAGCATACTTAAATAAAGGATCATACATCATGTCAACTGAATAAGATTTTGTTTAGAAAACAGCCAGGAAGCACCAACAACTATATGGAAATGCAAGGAGTTTACTGATAAAAGTTTACATCACCTGCTTAAGCATGAGGCTGTACATTATCATTCCAAATGCAGCCTTGAAACCATGTGCTCTGACTTCTGTCAATGGAAATGAAACATTGTAAGCATAATTAAAGAAAAATATAGTAAAGGGTGTTAACTGAATATATGTCGTGGCTCAGACCGATTGACATAAAGTATGCAGTATTTCTGAGGGCCAGGAGATATATAGGTAAATAATTTTCAGGTTCTTCAACTGTCAGCCTAGAATCTCAGTGACTCGGCCTAGAAAGTATACGTGCATTTCACAAGCCAAAAATATAATAAACAATTTAAACAGGCCCAGCCTTGTCAGCAGGCCTTGAATTTTCCCAAATTGAACAAATGAAGAAGGTTAGTATTAGGGTGGTGATTTTCCCACTCCTTTTTTGTCCACTTACACTCTGTTTTGTTTTTTAATAGTTTTTACTATAACCACAAAGGGAGAGTAAGTGGACAAAAGAGGAGTGGGAACATACAATTTTTAACAAAGGGAGTGTAAGTGGATAAAAGAGGAGTGAGAAAATCAGCTCCCTAGTATTATAATCTAATCATAGTCCTAGTTCTAAGGTTAATGCTTTACCATTTCTAACTTCTCTGTCACCATATGGAAAAAAGAACAAGAAAAGAAAAAGCAATATGTCACATGAGCAGTATATTTTGCCAACTGAGATGTGTCAAACTTGCACGCATTAGTTTGATGTTGCTCATTGTTGCATCTCAAGATTAGAGCTGAGCATTTTCAACTAGGAAAAACTATAACAAAATTGAAGTTCTAAGTCTGCTGCTGCAATAAATTACTAATTCACTACAATTTTTCGCTTAACTTTTTATTTTTCAATTTTAATTTTCTGCAAGTTACTATCAGAATAAGGCAGCAGTAGCAACTGACCTGCTCAGAATGAGGCAAATATTTCCCATCAAATACTATGGCTACCCGGTCCTTGCCATCCACACCTTTAACTTTGTCGACTGAACAGTAGAAATCTATAGCTGACATACTACACGTAAAACAAGAATGATCAGTTAAAGAAATAAAAAACCAAAATAGATTTTTAAAGCCAGGTATATTGGTTAAAACATGTCATATACAAATTTCACAAACAGTTTTTGCAACAACCAACTCAGCAAAGTTCATCAAGAACCAGTATGTCAAAAACTTTATTGTAATTCTATAGCATTTTAAATCAAGACACAAAGACACAAAATGAAACTTACATGCCATCACCAAATTCCTCGTTGATAATCTCCTTGATGCTTTCACCAAAATGCATAACTGCTTCATTCAACCTACAGAATTGAAAATCAGCAAATGGAAGGCATACCAGCTAGAAGGATAATTCATAACTCTGAGGAAAGAGTAAGCTCCTTTGACCTATTCTTAACATCAAGATCTTTGTAAAATATGAAGGTAATGAATGTGAATATCATGGCGGGTGTTGCATATTACACCTTCCAAGGAACAATATCAGCTTTGCACTGAATTTCAATATCATCATTGTTTCATATATTTTATCAATATTTTCATTATTACACATCTCTTACATTCCAATTGGATTCATGATACTGTGGGACTCAAACCGTTTGAGACAGTCAGGAAAAGATGTGCTGGAAAAAAGTTGGGTTCCATAGTATCTTCTTTTAGCCTCAATCACATCCATTTTAACACAAGAAAACAAGATCCACTTCACCATCAATATACCAATATCAATATGATAACCCATATAATCCACAGAGACCTTCATCATAGTCTTTAAGTCTTAAATCAATGCTTACAAACAATTAACAATATGGTTTATATATTACATATGTATAAGCCATCCAAACTGCTTTTCATCACTCCCAAACAAAAACCCATTTGATTATCAGAAGTTAGAACCTAAACTCAAGACAAATGAAAGGACACAAATTGAGATGACCCACCTGTAAATAGTGGGATCTTGGATCAAATTAGGGTCATAGGACCTCAAGGGTGGAATCATCATCTCCTTAATGAGCTCTTGGGGCAGGCCAGGCAGGGCAGCCTGCAACTTAGGGGCAGTTTCAGGCTTGAGCTGAGCTTGGCGCCTCAGAAGCTGAGCAACATACACGTTGGTGAGGCCTGTCTCCTTCGCTAGCTGACTATAGGACTTGCCAGACTCGCGCTTCACAGACTGAAGCTGATGGGTTATGATTGCTTTGTTCTCAGCCATTTCAGTTTTCTTTATCACTCTCTAAGTCCCTGTGTGCTTTTATAGACACATACGCACGGTCACTGTTAGAGCTTTACAGATTTCTAAGAGGGAAGCCCAATGATGTTGGGTTGGGTTGGGTTTCTTTGGATAAGTTTTGCTTCACATGATTTCTGTGGATAAGTTTTCGCCGCTGATCTTTATATAATTTTTTCACTAACTCTTGAAATAAGTTTTAAGTTTGAATTCTCTTTGTTTTTTTATACTTTTTTTATATGCTTTTATATAATTTTTTTGGTTGCGATTCTACCAATTTTAATAGTGTTAAGCGAGTTTAAGTGAGAATAGTTTTAAGTAAGCAATCTTTGAGACGAAAAAATAAAATTGCGAAACTTCGCTTTAATGATGAAAAAGTGGAATTATGTTCATCTCAAGTGAATTCCATTCTTTATTTTAGGACATTTCCTATTGAGAGGGGCGATAGTATATTAAACACACATACATTACACGGATGCTAGGACTCGAACCCAGAATTGATTCAAACCACATAGTGGGCCCTTTGCAAGTGAATTCCATTCATTGAAAATGCATCATGTAACCAACATCCAGAAAGAAAAAAAAATGAAGAATTCAACAAATTGAATAAAATTCTAATGTCCTTAAAAGAAAAAAAAGGCTAAGTTTTTTTGTTTTAAAACATTCCTAACTTTTTGTTCAAAAAGTCATTGTAAGTGAAACATATTAGCAAATTAGCAAGAAGATTATTCAAGATTCAAGCAATAACATACTAGGAATGGCCACACATATTTTAATTGCCTCTTTTAGCCAGGTCACTTTCTCTAGGATTACCTTGCAAAAGAAGGAACAAATTTACTTCCTTTATAACGGGAACCTAGAGAATCAAAATATCAAATCATATGCGCACCTTCTTAACACCAAAAAAGCTACGCTCTTAATCACTCTCTCGTTGTGTCTTTGGGTGTATGGAACTTGGCTGGGCTATATCCATGGCTGTCATTAAGGCCACAATGGTTCTTTTCTTCTTGATTGGACTTGTTATTTCTCAAGATTGTGTACTTACAGAGTCGTCTGCAAAGAATCTCCCTACTTGTGTCGTTGACATGCCTCGTGGTGAGTTCTTTTTCTGAACCTCGCTGTACAAAAGATTTTCTTTTTGTTACTTCAATGCTTTTGAGAGATTGAGAATTAACGGATATAATGTATACATATATATATTGTTCCAGGAACTTAACCCTATAGCCTCATTTGATGGCTTGGCCTAAACTCAATTGGGATCGAGTATGAGTCATCTCGCCCCTTTAGATGAAAATTCTAAACTCGATTGGATTGTTGTCCAATTAATACGTTCAGTCTCGGCATTTATAAGTTCACCAAACATCAATCATGATATTAATTCAACTAAATTGAAATAGTCAAGCGACCGAACGAGGTCTCTATATATGCATAAACTACTGTACTTCCTAGCTACATGATTACTATGTGCTTTATTTTTGGCTAGCTTCTAATTGATCCTTAAAAAATACCCGGCACAATGATTTATTAAGTTCAACTGATTTCTATATACTTTCTTTCATATGATATCAAATTATATGAACACTGAATATTCCTAACTTCGAAGTGACTAATTATATTAACGTACGGTTTAAACATGTGCAGATCTACATCCATGCAGCCCCACAGATCATTGCATAATGCAAGAAACTGAGCAAGATTTTATGTCAAGCATCAATGACAACCACTCTGGGTCGGACGATGAGATCAAGGTCACAACCAAACTATCAAAATCAAAATCAAAATCAAAATCAAAATCAAAATCAAAATCCAGGCCGAGGCCAGTCAAAACTTGCCCTTCCCCTGACGCTTCTGGTGCTCCAAAAATAGGATCTATGGAAAAAAATGTTCTTCTCATCGTTGCCATTTTTCTTCTTCTAACAGTTTCTGGTCCTTTGATAGCTTTGGTCATGCTTGGCATTATTCCATTCTTGTTATATATGGCGACACGATGACCATGACGGGTGAGGAAATAGCGACCTGAAGGCCTAAGATGATCTGCTTTGTATATCATCCTGTTTTCTTCCTTTGTTAATTAACCATATCTTATTGAAATTGTTTAGTTCAAAAGTTTTTTTTTCCTTATTAAGAGAGAGGGTGATTCGAACTTGATAAACTTCTTTCAACACGAGTGACGTATTTAGTGAAGTTGATATGCCACTAGATCAAGAGCTAGGTGGTATGATTGCAAAGTCACTTAAAGTTATTAGCAAACTAACAAAAGCTATTAAAATTGTTATGTTATGAATATCGCATCTAATTTTTTCTCCATATATAATTAATCGATTACCAAAGGCTCAGACATCATTTATGCACATCTAATTAATACTAGGGGGATAAAAATAAGGATCCGGATCCTCTGGTATGATTTTCTCTGTCATGATTTGGTTGATTTTCATTCTCCACATGTCACTTCATTAAAATTTAATATAAGAGACTTGACACATCATCCTTAAAATAAAACCTCAATTTACTGCTAAATGATAACGTGGCAAATTTAAATCCCTTAAATTAAATTTTAATGAGATGGTATGTGGAGAACAAAAGTCAAACAGATCATGTCCATAAATAAATCCCAAACTACAATATCAGTTATCCAATTTATTGGATGATATATATATATATACTGATCCTCTGCACTCGTTGAAGATTCTATTGAGTTTTTAGTAATTAAAATATCACTATATATAATATTATCTGTCGCATTTTTTGATTATATCTAGAATTCATATTTTTAAAATCTCTATTTGAATTATTATACACGCAAACCATTCATCTAGATCATGGCCCAAGTCGACAAAATTACGTACTTGGATATTTTGGCATTGTATATTGTTGGCCGTACTGGACAAACTAATACTGCCAAACAACGTTTATTTACAATGTATATGGAGTAGGAAACTTCTGATCAACTATCGTTTAATTTAATCCCATGGCTGGGTGTAATCTAAAGATAGATTCCTTATTCACAACCCAAAAAAGAAGAAGATAGATTCCTTATATAAGAAAAGAAATAACCATATCTTACTCTTGGCGCTTTTTCACAATTCAACTTAAACCGTCTATTATGTATGTCTTTTTCAACAATCGTCTCCTCGTAGAGTATCGTGAGGTCTGAAGATATGTATCTACATATTTTGGGGAAAAAAATGTTATATTTCTATTTAGATCGGTGCACTAGATGCTAGGTTATATTTCATGAGTTATTGACTTATTGAGGTTTGATAAGAGTTTAAATTAGGTTATACCTTGCGGCTCAAAATCTTGTGAATTAAGAAATTTTTTGAAGCCAATTAAAGCATATTTATTTCCTTTTGCGTGAACCGTTGCTTGATAGTCAAGTCAAACCTTGGTGATGAGTAGAGACGACCCTATATAAGTGCTTTCATCAGACACATTCTCTAACCTTAATCTCATCATAAAGAGAGAACTAAAACATTTTCTAAGAGAGAGAGCAGAAACCTTAAGTCGTTTGTGTCTTGTTGATTGTGTTGCTGTCGCTGCTGCTACTGTTAAACGAGTTCAGAGGTTGTGTATTCCAGAAAATGGTGTCAGGTATGTTTATATGCATTTTAGTTTTGTGTGAAAGATCATGGACGCAAATAGAATCTAACCAAAAAAAAAAAAGGCTTGCTAAGAGCTAAGATTTTTGGGGTAGACATTACAGAAAAAAGAAGAAGAAGAATAAATTGCTAGAGGACGTTAAGTTTCTTGTTAATCCAATTAGGGCATTTTATTTCTTTTTTAAGATGATTTATCAACTTTAAATTTCTAAGATTAAATTTTAATGAGATGCTGTGTGAATAACAAAGGTCAAATAGGCAAAAAAATCAAAGCATATGGTCAAAAAAGTAAGAAGTGTATAATAAGATTTTTATATATATAACAATTGACAGACAGATTGTCTTTTTAGTAATATAAACAATAGAAAAGTCAATCATAACTTTTAACTCTTGTATGGATAACGAAAATTGAAGTCCCCATTATTGAAGCAACATGTCATAATATAAAGCAAACTTGTGTATTGGCATTTTTAAAAAAGACAAAAATAGGTTTGTATATGTTTGTACAGATACGTTTTCCGAATGAAAAAGCATTCAATCGAGGTCTATAAAAAGGCTATTGGCTTTGGCAAGTGAAGTGGGAAGACCAAGTTCAATAAATTACAGAGAGCTAACTAGAGCAGCACAAACAAAAGGCATGGCAGCTGAAGAAGGGCAAAGGGTCGATCAGTACACACAAGATGGGACTGTGGATCTTAAAGGAAACCCTGTCCTTCGATCCAAGAGAGGTGGATGGACTGCTTGCTCCTTTGTTGTCTCTCTCTCTCTCTCTCTCTCTCTCTCTCAGTTTATTGCTCTGGGAAGTTGTTAATTTGGCTAGAGTATAAATGGTCTGATTTCTGAGCCAAGCAACTCTTTTTGTGATGAGAAGTTTTATTGGTTCTGTGTCTGAAAATTTGCATGAAGAAGATATTAAGAAGTCAGTGGATGATGAAATTGCATGAACTTTCACTGATTTGCTTAATTAATTACCAGCTTATATATTATTGTGCGTTAATTGTGATTGGTTGACTGATCTGGCTCATGAATGAATGAGGGTGTATATACCCACTCTCCCAACCCACACCATACCAGCTATCTCACTACCTACTTAGAGAATCCACAATTTATTTCCCCATTGCTCCCATACCACACCTATCTCACTACCTAACCCAACACATATAGTTAGTTGTCTGGCTAACATTGCTTGCATTTACACTGCTGTACTCTCTCTCTCTCTCTCTCTCCCCTAAGCACACAAAAACAAACAAATAGCATTGCACCAGCTTCCATACAAGTCATAGGCCAGCCACATGATGAAACAGATTCCCATTTCTATATTTGCACTTCTTCTTTTTGTCCCCTTGGGGGTCTTGAAAAAGTGTAGACTAACCTTACTACAAGTTAAACCTACAACTGTTTAAAATGAAATGTGTAAGTAATCAATCTTACCCACCCAATGAAACTGATAAATATCTTTAATATTGCTTTCATTATTTTAAGAAAAAAATATATTTCAAAAAACAATTGTTGCTTTAGATATTTATTTTGTCTCTGGCTTTCTACAACATCCATGCACACACACCGATCAATTCAAAAGTAACACAGAAGAAATCAACCCTTTGTAGATAACTTTAAAAGTAGTACACCGAAAACTTCAGGAGATGTTAGTGTAAATAATTCTAATATATATCCATATGGCCAACTTGGACTTTAAATGCATGCAATTTCTTCCTCCCAGTTGATTTTCTTTGACTTGTATTGCAGTGTATGAGGTGTTTGAACGCATGGCATATTATGGAATATCGTCGAATTTGATCTTGTATTTGACCAAAAAGCTTCACCAAGGGACTGTGACTTCTGCGAATAATGTGACCAATTGGGTTGGCACCATTTGGATCACTCCTATTTTGGGAGCATATGTGGCCGATGCTCATCTGGGTCGTTATTGGACATTTCTCATTGCTTCCATTGTCTATCTATCGGTAAGTCGTTCACACCACTCATGCACTTGTGACTGGTCTAAGTCAACATATTGTTTGCACCGTCCATTTCTACCAATGATTTCAAACGTACATGTGTCGTTATTAACACGAATAAAGAATTGAACTCGAGTACGAGTTTAATTGGACTAATTGCCTGCTACACGATTATCTAATAAGAGAATATTTTCGAATTAGTGAAATACAATTCGGAGTGAGTCCTATAAATGTGTCTTTTAAATAAACTAATTTGAGAGATCTCTCGATAAAATCTCCACATATAATTATTGAAACTTCAATAATATTGCTTTGATTGGATTGGTGCACGAAAGTTCATTGGCTTGGAAAATCTGTGTTTGTAAGACAGTGGTAGGAAGACATCGCTGTCATCTAGACTCTGTCTGATGTCACAACTGGGCGACTAGTTTGAATTTTTCTGGCCGGCGCCGGTCATATGTATATTTTAGGTATACATCTTTTTCTACGTAGTTGTCTACGTCTATACATTTTCGTCTTAGCCTTACAGAGTATACAAAGCTGGATTTCTTGTATTTTACTCGAGTCAACTATACAGGTCCACATTAATCAACACATGCATGTGGATATGGTCCAAAACATTTTAGTCTAAGCTAGGAGACATACGTATGAGGGGCATGATGATGTCAAGATTGGGTTGAGAAAAATACAAGAATGACAAATTAATTAATTAATTATTTGATGGGGCTTAATTAATTATCTAATCTCATCATTTGTTTTTTTATAATTAATTTGCAGGGAATGTCTGTATTAACCCTAGCAGTTTCACTTCCTTCTTTGAAACCACCTCCCTGCCGAGATCCCCATGTCGAAAACTGCAAGAAGGCCTCCTCATTACATCTAGCTGTGTTCTATGGTGCCCTCTACACTCTAGCCATTGGAACAGGTGGAACAAAACCCAACATATCAACCATTGGAGCAGACCAGTTTGATGATTTTGATCCCAAAGAGAAGAACCAGAAGCTCTCCTTTTTCAACTGGTGGATGTTCAGCATCTTCTTTGGCACACTCTTTGCCAACACAGTTCTTGTCTACATACAAGACAATGTGGGCTGGACCTTGGGATATGGCCTTCCAACTCTTGGCCTTCTTATATCTGTTATAATCTTCTTGGCTGGCACACCATTTTACAGGCACAAGGTGCCTACTGGCAGCCCCTTCACAAGGATGGCTAAGGTCATAGTTGCTGCAGTGAGGAAATGGACTGTGACTCTGCCTAGTGACCCTAAGGAGCTCCATGAGCTTAACTTGGAGGATTATACAAAAAAAGGAAAATTCAGAATTGATTCCACACCAACCTTAAGGTTTGTAAATATACGTTCATTGACTTAGGCTTTTTTTTTCTTTTTTTTTAGGTAACTCTGTTCTGAAGATTTGGTGATGTGTATATTCATGCAGGTTCCTCAACAAAGCTGCTGTGAAAACAGGCTCAAACAGTCCATGGGAGCTATGCT